TTCTGAGACGAGTTATCCGTCACAGACGGGAAACTCGTCTTAGAAATAATCCGTCTAAAGCGACGGAAAAGTAGACTGGTTACCCGTCTAAAATTATAGCCGTCCCGTTTTCATGCTAGGACGGGAAACTCGTCTGAGACGGATAACCCGTCTCAGACGAGTTTCCCCTCTCCAGTGTGAAAACGGCCAAATCTTCCCAAATATATAAACTGGCATCGAGTTGTTCCTTGTTTGCAATTGGTTTATTGTTACATACCTTAGTAGACACTTATATTGAGGTGTCTTTCAATTTGAACATAATTTTACACCGAAAACTAAAAAGACAAAGGTCATTTGAAGTTTTATCTATGTCCCATTTTATCCTTGGTATTAATTCTGTTTATGTACTAACATATTATTATTTACAAAAAACAGATCAACGAGTTAGAGACGGCCAAAGAACCATCACTTTCGAATTTTAAGGTTTGTTTCATTTATTTTTATTGCGTAGGCTACTTATATACATGTTTATAAGAATTACGTCGATTAGTGAGCAGATATTAACTTTTTCGTTTCAGGCTCGTTATTTAACAAATAAAGAAGCCAAAACCATGTATTATACTGTCATAAAACACTCCGGGAATTTGAGAACACTTGAGAAATTTAGAAAACACTCGCCTGCGGCTCGTGTTTTCTAAATTTCTCAAGTGTTCTCAAATTCCCGGAGTGTTTTATGACAGTATAATACATGGTTTTGGCTTCTTTATTTGCTTTAAAATATAGATTTAACGCGCGCGAAACGATAAAACACGGCTTTTCTATGATTTATACTCTGATAAAGCATGGTTTTTAACCAATCAGAGCGCGCGCATTTTCCAGTCTATGTTTTAAAGCTCAATATACTTTACCATTATATTTCATCGTTCCCTACTAAGGCCCAGTCCACACTAATGCGTTTTCGAAACGCTCCATTTGACCGAAAACGCATCAAAAGCACCGCGTCCCCGGCCACTATCGTTTTTGCAGCGTTTTTCCCTCTCCACACTAAAAACGCTCGAAACGCCACAAGTCATCAAATAGGCCTTCGTTTTCAAATGCCTCCACTCTGGACAGCGGTTTCAAATGTATGCGTTCTCGTTGAAAACGCTCAGAGTTTTCGATCGTTGTAGTGTGGACGATAGGCGGAAACGCATCGAAAAATATGCGTTTTCAAACGAAAACGCATTAGTGTGGACGGGGCCTGAGTTAATTGAACCTTTGTCCAACCTTTGATAAATGTCAAAAGCGTGTTAACTTGGATCAAAATCAAAGACGGTCTTTACCACCTTTGATATGCAGTCCAAAGTATGGCAAGGAAGGCTTAATGCGATCTTTGAACTAAATCAAAGGTTTATACCAAAGGCAATTTTTCCCCAAATTTTTCGTGCCGTGTCTGTTTACTCGGACTATAATAATAATAATTATAATAATAATAATGATAATACTTGAATTTATATAGCGCCAAAATCTATAATATTCTAAGGCGCTTTACAAAGTGTGTAAATTAATAATTATAAAAAGTTAAAACAAACAAAACAAAACAAAAAACTATGTGTTCTTTGGTTGCTAATAAAACATTTACAACCTGTTTTTTTTTTTTAGGCGAAGAACAAATTAAAAGAAGGATATGAAAGGTAAGCAACAATTTTAATTTGTTGACTGTTTCAAATATTTTATTTCACTGAGTAAAATCAGATCCTTCTGCCAAACTAATCAACACCAGATTTGTTTTCAGGATGCGGTTGAAAAAGATGAATTATTCTGAATGTGCAATAATATCATATCAGGATCATATACATTCTAGCAGAAAACGTGCCATTTGGCTCCTCAGTATACCTTACACAAATACGTACATTCATTTTTCTAGCTTGAGAACCTGCTCGAAAGACGACCCCAAAAAAACCCGTACTGATGACGTATCTCTACAGAGATCTGTGTAGTGTCTCTGATTGGTTGTTACTTGCGCACAGAAATTCAAAACTGAGCAACAACCAATCAGAGACAATACACGGATCTCTGTAGAGCTACGTCATCAGTATGGAATTTTTCAGGTCGAATCTCAAATATCTCTTGGGCGAGGGAAATATTGAGCCTGGTGCTCAGTCTAAAGGTTTGGCGACCACAAAACAACGTTTTTGCGATGTTCTAATAGTACATAATAAATTGTTATGTGTTATTGTGTTATGTTAGTCACTGGCCAGTGGCCATGGTGACTAATTTCTGCATTTAATTCTTCTTCCATTTATAGAGAGATGGCAGATATAAATCAGAAACTTAAAACAGCGAAGGTGATCAAGATTCCGTTGTTTTTCTAACACTATATAATTATACTTTCTAACGGTATAAAATGTATTTTATTACTTCATACAGTCGAAGCTCTCTGAGTGGACACTCTCGTAAGCAGACAGCTCTACTTACGGCCCGGCGCCTTGACAAAACCCTGTTTGAACTCTAGATAGCTCGTACAAACTCTGTATTTACACATTACCGTAAGTTGCCATCCCTCGTTGTGAAAACTTTTTCTGCTTCCCGAGGGTGTCTGCTTACGCGAGCTTCGACTGTTTAAGTAGAAATATTTTTAATTCATTGATGTTGTATTTCGTTAAATATCCCTTTATTATTCTTTAATTATTATTATTATTATTTAGACAGCAGTCCCGGACACTACCAACTCTGAGAAGCAACTGGAGGTTAGAATTTACTTCGTACTTATATATACTAAGTAAGCTTACCCATGTAAATAAATTAAAATAGAAGGAAACCTTAAAATAATTGTTTGGTAAGGTAGAAAAATACCAAAGAGGTAATTATAAACCAAACAGGAACAAGGATGGTTAAGATTGGGGAAGATTAAGACGGATAACGATTACGAATGAACTTGAAAACGTTATGCAAAATGTTCCAAGATGCGCCATCCGTGACGTAACTCCTGTAACATTTGATATATTCACCAGTAGTTTTTAGCACAGAGTGCAATCGTCTGAATTATATATGTCAGTACGAATAATAGAGAAGGTTCAATGCAATGCGATATGAAGTATACAATTTGAAGACTGATACCTTATTAAAAATGTTTCTAAACCTGTGTGATATTTCTTTTCCTTTTTGCAGATGGCTGAAACTGAATGGAGCAGGTAAATGATAAAAGCGATAAAGTGTTTACTTTGAATTTGCGTTTTCAATTGAAAGAATGAACGTACTTTAACCCTTTCACTTCCAAGTGTGCTATAAGTTCAAAACTGAGGAAAACATCTTGAATTTCATTTTGCAAAATTGTCAAAACGAACAGCACCATTTGAAAGTACTACTCGATAACTTTCATTTGAATGGTCACACACTTGGGTTTCATCCACAGACTTAAAAGTTAGAACCACCTTGTACAGCATAATAAACAGTACCACATGAAAGTACTGCTCAATAACTTTCATTTGAATGGTCACACACTTGGGTTTCATCCAAAGACTTAAAAGTTACAGCCACATTTATTGACTCAAGGTTTGACTCTGGGAATAAAAGGATTAATATAAATGGTTTAGAAACTTGTGCAACCTACTCTGACCAATTAGAGAGAGCGTGCTGCTTTTTCAACCATCAGAACTGAGCAAACTAAACTGACCGTGAGTGTAACTTGTCGCACGCGCATTTTCCCGCGCTTTTCACGGGCTGCACTCAATCTGAACCCGAGTCTCCGGCTCCCGAAAAAGGGACTCCGAAACTGTATCAAATTATAAGTTAATTCGTAATCTATTTTCGTCCTCCCCAAATTGTATCCTTTTTTTTTTATTATAAGTAACTGTGTTTTACTTTGACTTGTATTTGTCTAGCTAAATAAAGATGACGACTTTTAACGCAACATTGTTGCAACAACGGTATATCACACTTCTCAACTCATTTAAAACAATTCGTAATATATGGTAATAGGACTGAGTGGTCCGTTGGTTGTCGTTGTAATTATGATTGACAGCAGCGAAAAACGCAATCGTTAGTTGAGTTTTTAAGCTTCAAAGTTCGCGTGTCATTCAAAGGCGCAGTATAAAGATATTAGTTTAAATTCCTCTCAGTCGAAAGATTCGTAAGTTGCGAAAAGCACTTGCGCGCCCTCGCATTTTCCAGGACAACCATTTTTTTTTTTTTAACTTTTTGTTTTACAACGAAAACCGAGGTTGAAAATTTATTTTTGTCTCTAGAGAAATGGCTGAATTGTCCAAGAGGAGGAAAGAAATAGATCAAACAGTAAGTATATAGTTTAAACCTGACAAGTATAGAGTTAGACTGCGAGCAGTCTCTTTTTTTCGCAAAGAACGCGAGGCGAACGCGCGAGCCAGATAACACGATGTACGAGCGGCTTGCGGTAAAGCCTCGAGCCGCGAGCAGTGTGGGCGCGAGAGGAAGCAAAAAAGTGCTATTCTCGCGCGTTCGCTGAGGCTTCGCCGCACGCCGCTCGTGTATCGTGCTATTCTCGATGATAATGACGACGATGATGATGATGATGATGATGATGATGATGAAATTGATGATGACGATGATGATAGTGATAATGACGGTATGGTGATCTTTTCTTGTTTTTAGAAAGCCACCCTGGCTGCTTCCAAACGTGAGGCTGATGAAACGTGTCAGGTCAGTTATAATTATTGGACCATTTCTAGATATTTAGAAACAAAGTTTTGCCAAAAAGCACGCCGCCTTTTTTAAACAGAAAAAAATATTGGTAGTTTCTAATCCCTTTTGGCTACTAGACATAGAGGTAAAGCTTCACTCGGGCCAGACTGCCCACACTGCCGGAGATTATGCCAGTTTCCGTAGCATGAAGCCGACTACGAGTGTTGTTACCCCCCCCTGGATAGGATGCTAGAGTAGTCCATCGCAGGTTATTCACAGCATTTTGTCAAGTTGCCCTAACAGTTCGCCGATATCCAGTTATACTCCTGGGTGGAAAGAGGCACTGTGAGAGTCAAGTGTCTTGTCCAAGGACACAACACAATGGCCCAGGCCAAGGCTCGAACCCGGTCCGCTTGATCTCTAGTCCAACGCGCTAACCATTAGGCCACCGCGTTTCCCACGCTTAGGCATAGAACGTAGTTTGTAAACAAGTAGCGAGTTTGGATTTATTTACTCCCAACTCTCTCAAGCTAATACTGGAGAATCTAAAAGAAACTCAACTAAAAATAGAACATACAAATACATGAGAAATAAATAAGATAGCGCTGTTGTTTAATCTGATATTTTTGTTCTCACAGACCATGGCAGCAGAGACCAAACAATGTGGAAGGTACATGAATATTTTCATAACACAACACGTTAATCATACTCATGTCAATTCAAACCATAAAAATAACTTCAAATTTTATTTATCGGCCGATCGAGTATGGCTTTTGTGTTCCTCACTGATCGCACCTAAATTTATAGCATCTGACTAAAGCAACTGGAAAACATAATATTACAATGTAATTCATTTAGTTTATTTTGTGCTTAAGTTGGTAAAACTCATTTTTACAGAATAAAAACACTTTTTTGTTGTTGTATTTTAGAGAAACCGAGAAGAAAAGAAGGCAATTTACGGCTTGGCGCGTTAAGGTAAGTGGACACACATTAAAATTGTTGCTCGCTCGCAATGTTGTAACAGTTGCATGAAATGTTGCACCACGTGTCAAATAAAAACACAAAGCCAGGATAGAGCGGTTACCATTAGAGCCAAAACCAAAACCAAAGCAATCACAATCTGAGCAATCGCACAGCGTGACATGCAGCGAACGTAAACAGCACAACGAACCAATGAAAAGTCGAAGCAAATACAAGTAACCGGCGCCAAGCGCGGGAAAAACGCGTGCGACCAAGTCGCGATTGGTTTGGTTTTGCATCTGATTGGTTGAGAATCGAAGGTGGCGCGAGTTTTTTAAACCAATCACAGAGCGTAGTAAAGCAAAACCAAAGCAGTTATGGATACACAAGCATTTCTCGCACTTTCTCTGGCATGACGCGTTTCTAAAGACTGAATCAAGCAGACAGATTAGGCAATTTAGGAGTGTATAATGCCATGTTAATGAGTTTGTCGACATCATCTCATTGTTGCATTGCTTTCAGGGCAAGATGAAAGTTAACAAGAAAGACAAGTAAGGGACTGTGCAATAATTACCAGGAAGGGGGGGGGGGGGGGGGGGGACGGACACCCGATAATACGGACACTTTTTCATGTCCCTTTTGGTGTCCGTATTAACCGGTTCCACTGTAATCGTATTGTAAGTAGTCTAAGTAATAGTATTGTAAGTATTGTTCTCTGTTGCAATAAATAAAGGAAAAAAAAGTAAGTACAATAGTATATTATCCTCACTGCATACCTATTGTCGCGTCACGGTAAGCTAAGTTATGGGAGAAATCCGCGACTGCCTAGGCAAAAGGTATGCAGCCAAGGCTGGGTGAAGTGGTCACCGCCACCAGGGGAGGAGGGTGAGGCGAAAAGCGCTTCCTTTAGGCATTCCCGTCAAACTGCGAGATTTCACGTTGCGCTGTCTAATTTTATAGCAGGGGGCCGCAAAGGATCATGCACGACCCCGCCTGCTAAGAAACTCCGCGATTGGTGGAATGTGTGGCATGTTTCCGTGACACGCTAATTATATATGCAGTGAGAATAGTATATTATCCTCACTGCATACCTATTGTCGCGTCACGGTAAGCTAAGTTATGGGAGAAATCCGCTCCTGGCCCCACGACAATTTGCTAAGCTATGCCGGCACCAGGTGCAGCCCCGACTGACCCACATAGCCAGAAAACACAATATCACTGCTGAAAATGTCAGACTGCTTTATTCTACATTTACCCCCTCCATTACTCAGAACCCCATACGTCCCCTCCTACTAGCGAAGATATTCTATTATAACTATACTAGGCTTGTTATGTGTAAATAAACTGATAAGTCCTACCGGGTCGCATGCTTTAAACTATTGGTTGAATGTTTCCCGGATGCGATACTGGAGTAGTGAGACCTGTGGCCCGGGACATCACAGACTCCAAAAGGTTAAGCGTAGATGCCGGCTGAGACTCGCGCGAGTAATGCCTAGCCATATCGCTACTCTTCCAGCCCAAATATTGGGCTATCTCCTCCTGAGAACAGCCCAAAAGGCTAAGGGTATTGGAGAGTCCAACTCTGAAACTGTGAGGAGTTTCACCATTATTGAGATTAGCTTCAGCAAGATATCCACGTAAACGATTATTAACAGCCGAGGAAAGAAACGGCCGCTCCCCTACGCTCCTCCCGCGATCGGAGGTTCGGAAAAAATAGCCCCCAGGCAAGGGAACCCCTAACGCCCGGCACGCGCGAACATAATAATCCAGCCAGAAGACTGGGCAAACATCTGGGTCGCAAAATGGGACCATAGCGAAGGCGCGAGGGGCCCCTTTGCGAATTGTCTTCGTGAAGGATAGTTTAATTAAAAAGCCCTCTCGATCCTTGAGCCTGAAAACCTGATTGCAGGAGAGCCGCCCCAAATCCGACGCCCTGCCCCCAGTGAAAAAATCTACAACAAAAAAGGTAGTATCTCTAACTAGGATGTACTTATTAACAAGAGAGAGCGACGCGCTTGCTGCTATTTTCTTCCTAAAGTGGACAACGAGGCTTTTAAACTTCGAAAAGAATAGGGCAACCGCCTTTTTTTTGGAGTAATCGTTAAACCTGCCTGCTCTTCCCTAGTGAACTTCAAGTATTCTTTTACCCGCGAGTACGAGATGGGGTTTGCGAGATTGACACGACCTATCTTATTATAAATAGCGCGCAGTTTCCCGATGAGGGAGTCAACAGTACCAGCCGCTAAACGGCGGGGGCATTTACAAACTTTCCTATCGCATGTCTGTTTGTGAACAACAGTCCTGCCAGTCTTATCTTTACTAATGAGGAATTTAATGATATCCTCGGAAGAGGCGGAAGGTAGAACCTTTGGAGGCGTAAGAGCAGCGAGGAAATTAGACAATTGTTGCTCTAGAGCGGACTTCTGCTTCTGATAAGGCTTTCTACTTGTCGAGGATTCGAATTCCACAAAGCGGTTATTGATTAAAGTCATATCCAGGTCAGGTTGGATGACAGGAGGCACAGGAGTTTCTGTCGCCGCACCACATGCTTGACAAAAATTAGCGTCACGGTCGTTAGGATAAAGGCACGACGCGCACCGTCTGGCCGCTTTCCAGGGGCGTGAAACCTGGAGAACGGAATTCTTTGTATGTCAAATGTCCAACGTAACAAATATGTACATACAGTTAAAGTCAAAACACGCAGCGGAAAGCCCAAAGGTTCCATTGCAACGGTCGGGGAACCAACCCGGAGTTGCCACCAGATGGGAAAAGCAAGATCGAAGCATCACCCCTTCGCCCAAGCATAAACCGATCGATGCTCGCGGCTTGCAGAAACGCCCACAAGAACCGACGCGGTTGAATATCCGGCGCAATTATAGTGAAAGGGTGATGATAACGTTGGTCAAGAATGTATCGGAGGAGCGGGCCGATAAGAACAAATGGGGGAAAGACATAGAGATTTCCCCCTAAGGGCAACTGCTGAGCGAACACGTTGATGCCTGCCGATTCAGGGACGTGGCATGGAGAGAAATGCGGCAGACGATCGCCAAGCTGATCGCTGCGGCAATTACTGTCGTGCGACATGAGATCGAATGTGTGTGGTCCAAACATTCTTTGCACACGGGACCACGCCTCCTCAGTAAGGGTGCAATCGAGGTCTGAAAACTGCCGTGAAGGAGCGTTCGGCTGGATTCTCAGCTGAAGGGACGTACTGCATGTCAATCAAAAAGTTAAACTCTTGACTACATCGTAGAATTGCCTTAATCACGTCATTGATGCTAGAGTTTCTTTCCACCCTCGCTTTGCCATGTTTCCCAGTAGAGACATGCTGTCTGTATGTACATCGACACGGGAATTCCGGATCCTACCCTTGAAGGCGTCTAAGGCACATAACAATGCTTTGGCTTCCAGGTAATTGATGCTACGTGATTCGTCTCGCCAGAAATCTCGAGCCTCTATCTTGCCGCTATCCGTTAATAACACACCACCCAAGCCCGTTTAGAAGCATCGCAATATAAAGTGACGGCAACATGTTTCTCTGGTTTCCAAGGCAAGCAGTACGTCCAGTCATCCAAAAAACGCCAATATTCAACCTCAGACTGGAGAGGGCCAGTGAGCTTGGTAGCCACTCGCGACTTACGTGTCAGACCGGCAATGGCTTTGAAAATTTCGCGAAGATACAGTTTACAACCAGCTATAGCGATACTGAAGGAAACAGCCTTTCCGGCGAAACGTTAAAGGGTTTTTAATGTTACTGTCTTGGATGTTAGAATGTCCTCCCTTAGCACTTTGAACTTAATCTTCTTCCCCTCCGGTAACAAAAAAGGCTTGCCGAACAGAATCGCATATAAACCCAAGAAATGTTATGAACGTGGATGGAGTAAATTGTGACTTGCTAAGGTTGATAAAATAGCCGGCCTCTATCAGCAAATAACAAAGAATGTATGCCGCCCGCCTCAGCATTTTGAACGCTCGGTACCCAGGGCTGTTTGGATGACTGCACCAACAGCTGACCAACATGGCGGTCATCGATGTACTGGGAAAGAGGGACACCGGACGTATACGTGCCGCGCCAGAAACTGCGAGACCCAAATTGTGGTAAAGGAAAGCACTAGCTTTTCAGCCAAAAGGTAACATACAAAAGGTAAAGTAGAAACCTTACCATTTTAGTCCGAAAAAGGTGCGGGAAGAAAGGTGGAGGCTAACGTGGTGATAACCGCTTTTCTCGTCAAACGAAGTCTGGAAATGCCCGGGCAGAACATATCTTGGCAAGTCCGACAAATGATCCAGTTTGAAAGGAAGTTCTTTAATCCACAAATTGAGGTAACGTTCGTCGTGGCATAGGCGGGGTTTGGAAGGCTCGACGGTAAGGGGAAGGACCAGATGGGGGGGAGAGACCTGACCGACCTCGCCCCCACACCGACAAGTCACCGGCCGATACCCACTCCAGAACGGTGTTAGAAATGAACTCAGAAAAGTTGGCGCATGACCT